TTATCTCTGTCCGCCTCGCCTCTCTTGAAGAAGAAGCTAGCACCAAGACAACCGGTCCTCGCAAGTATTTGAGCAACGGTCCGTGCCGTAGTAGACTTCCCAGTACCAGCCATGCCATTGAGCCAAAATATAGACTCGGCATATGGATCGTCCACCCATTGCGTTGTCTAATCTAAAAGAGAGACACGAGTATTTTCCATGCAGATCGGGTTGCTCTCTTCACTGGAGGAATCGTATGTTGCTCCAGCTGCCATAGGCAGGCGACTCAAGAAGGCCTTTTGATCAAGACTAAGTAGGATGGACCTAAGATATGTGTGAGTATGGTAGAACGGCTAGGCTTATCATTGTTCAATAGCTCACGTTTGATCGACTTGCAGAGCAAGTGATATATTCTGCCCGCATCGTCCAAGTTGCTTGACGACTTTTTCCACATCTTTGCTCTTTAGCGGCCATTTGAGTGCGCCAACTCTCAGCCTACGGAATGCTTTTTGGGCCGACGACGGCCTCAAATCGTCTTTTAATTTACTCAAATGAATCCGTGCCTCTTCAATCGCATCCAAGAGCTTGCTCGACGTCTTCAGTGTGGTCTCACAGGGGCCATCGAGTAAATCCTGGACACTGCTCGTCGTCTCGCCGAGGTTGTTGACCTCTCGTAGTAGACGGTTGTCTTCTGACTTTGCATCTTTCACTCCTTTCGAGTACTGGAAGCATATTGCTGCAACGCGTCCGGATATTTCGATTACTGCAATGACGCTTGAGGCGACGCCCAAAGCCTCCAAGGCCATGGCACCAACAAAACTGGCAAGACAGCAAGATGTCGGCCTGAGATGTAAGATTCCATGATGAGGGGAATACAGGAACACACGGAGGTATTCTTATCACTGGTGGCCTCATATTGAGGCGCTTGAGATGGGGCATGCAGCTGCTTCAGGTTGTGCGAGGCATATGCCAAAATCAGGCAGAGTTCGGGTCAGGCGCTTATGCCACAGGATGGCTGTCGAATTAGAGACGGAGATGGCACAAGGCAAGAGTCGGCAGCTAATCGGAAGCTGCTGCGTGGGTGGCTCCTGCTCGAAGAGTGCATTTATTTTAAATGGATATTTGCAGGAGTTTCTGTAAAGTTTCGAAATGGGAAACAAAGAATAAAATGTCACCAAATAACCGCCTTGGAGGGCAGTCCCAGTCTACTCATCCGGAACCAAAATCTGAGACGTGTCCAAGCGCTCTCTGGGCCGATAATTTTAACAGCAAATAACATCATTTATGTATTATGCATCCCTTTGGCTGTGCTAAGGTGCCAGTCAGGTATCGGCCCCATTTTTTCTGCGATACCTAACGGGTACCTTTTTAGCGTCAAAAAGGCCCCATACGCTAGGTTCAGCTGTAATATGTGCGATGTAGCTCTTTGTAACTCACAGCATTACTAGTACTTCTATCATCTTATTATTTCCTAGCGGGGTTAAGTATCTTTAAATGTAGGGTTTTTAATTGGCTAAAACCAGAATTCGATACCTGACTGGCACCTTAGCACAGCCAAAGGGATAGGTGTCGCGGTATTGGTACATAAGATAAATAACAAGACCCACCTTTAGTCTAAAAGAGGATTAGCGTTCTAATCCATATGTAGCCCCAAGTCCTTTAGCCCAGGACGTAATAGAGCACGTGCATACTGGACCATTTTCGGTGGGTAGCTCATGCCCGCAGATATGCTGAAATGCTTACAGAATCTCACATGAAGCCCTGTCACCACTAACCTCTTTCTTTTTTCTTTTTCTTTTGTTTTTTTTTAAATCCACTTATTAACAGTTTACGCTAGGCTATTTCCCCATCATTTCCAGAGCCTCCTAATCCTATGGTGCCTGAAGCATAAGCCCGGCTGGGTTACCTGCTATACACGCTGTCGGGTACCGTCTACAAAGCAGTGTGTTCCGCTTGACCTTAAGAGACAGTTAATTCACCACAAAAAAAAAAAAGATTAAGATGGTTCAAACTCACCGTTCAATCAGAGCCGTGTTCATGGTTTCCCAGTTCATAAATTGATAGCGACGGGAGGCAATGGTGTAGTGCTGGCCTGTTCGTCCACTAAGTATTCGGCACAGCAACCGTGTTTTCCAGGCACCTGGCAGCTTGACATGTGATCCTCCCGACTGGGCGCTGTGCGCATGTCAACGAACCTGTACTGGTCCGTCCCTGCAAACTAGACGCGGGCGAAAGCAAGGATCAGCCACATCGTTTACCAAGTCGGAGAGCCCGCCACGTCATAGTATTAAAGTCTAACTTCCGGTAATAATCTTAAAGATGTACAAGATAACTCCTCTTCCCAGGCCCCCCTATGTAATTTAAAGGAGGAATAGATAATAAACAATTAGTTTTATAATCGCAGAATTTCATGCAAATCTGATGTCTAAGAACGTTAGTCCGCCAGACAAATGCCCCAGCACAATCTTATTCCCATACAAAGCAACTGTAGTAGCCCTGTAATCTGGAGGAAGCCATAGACTCTCCACGCCATGAAGAGTTATCCACGCATTTTTGACATACAAAGCATGATCGGAAGGAGTCTTATCAGAACACCGTTCAGATGAGGAAGACGAAGACGATAGTCGGAGCGACCCATAGTCCGTCCTAAGGTATCTGCCGTTAGGCGAGAAGGACACGGCCGTGACCCTCGAGTGTCTGCCGTTGGCTTCCCGTGGCCGTGTTCCAGAGCCGGACAGTCTCGTCGTATGAAGCCGAGGCGAGCGTCTTGCCGTCGGGCGAGAAGGCCACGGCCGTGACCACGTCGCCATGTCCCTCGAGCGTCTGCCGTTGTGCGTTCCAATCTGATCTAATGCCTGCAATGTTTTGTATGAATGGCAATCTTGTTTCCATTGCGCATTCCGGATTTTACTTGTCGTCGGGCTGAATGCCAGTGCGGAACCATACGTCTGCATGGGAGCCCGGTCAATGCTGGGTGCATGGCTACGCACAAACTTATCGGCATCTTGCAAGAACTCAGCAAGTTGACGACTGGGACTTGATCCCTGGTGACCATCAGCAGCTGCAAGAAATGAACAGGGTCGTGAACATACCTGGACAATGTGCAGAAGCTTTCTTATCAAATGCATTCCCTCCGGGAGCTTTCCCAGGAGGGACAGACTTTCGAGCCAGTGAAGGAGCCTGTCTTTTAGAAACGCAAACACTATTCCGTCATCCCCCAGTGCCTCCTTGGACCGGGGGCTTTCGCCGTTTTCGGGGAGGTGACCAGCCCAGAAGACGCAGGAGTATCGTATTGGAGCCAGCGGGTCTGGCTGGGGGGGCTTCGTATCCTCTAGCTTGAAGCCGTAGTCGACGCCGTACATGTTTTGTCGCAGAGCCGAGGACATTGCTTCAATGGAACGTGTACCAAGGTCCATGTGCACTTGACGGATTCCATCTGCGCGAATCTTCGACCCATTGTTTGCTTCTAGATAGTCTTTTACTAATTGGTGAATGATGAGAACTTGCTCGTCTCGTATGGTAAGGAATAACCCGCACATGCCGACTATTTTCTCAGTGGACTGATATACACTTAGATCCCCTTCTAGCTGAGGCAAACTAGACAAAAGGTAGAGTTCCTAGAGGTGAAGTGGGCGATATGTAACAGTAATAGTCGAAAGCACACGCCTGCAAAGGTCCGGATTTCCACGTGTCAATAGTTCAATTTGTTCCATGTCAACGCCAAAGGCCCCTTTCAATGGAAAAAGGCTGCTATTTATCGGGGACCCCGATAAGCCCCAAAACGCCTCAAATAGCTGCTTTTTAATTGTACGAAAAGCCTTAAAAGAAGGCTCGCGCTACCACCCTATTAAAGCTGAACCTTTAATAGCTAAATACCGTAAAACCCCTTAAATTAATTACTTTTTAGGTGACC